ACATGCCCCACCACTTGTAATGTGTGGAATCCGCCGAGATTGCGATGTTGTTAAATTTTTGAAGTTGCCTACGTTACCTACCTATTGTATTTTGTGCATACCAAAGACAAACGAAGTTTCAAAATTTTCATGGCATATGTAACGTGTATAATAAAAACAAGTGGTTGTGTTTTAGGGCCGATTCCACCGTTGTGTTAAACGAAGTTTAAATTACTAAAAGAAGTTTAAAATAACATTTTTACATCAACAGTGTCATTTTAATCTTAGTTTAGTAATTTAAACTTTGTTTAACACAACGGTGGAATCGGCCCTTAACGAATTAGAAGATACATATGACAAAACTACTAAAGTCGTAGAACTGGTTGCTTGTCACACTGCAAAATAATTAATGGTGTATTCTCCACGACATAACTTTTACCTACAATAGTTGCAATTAGAAAAGTGCGTTAAACGGATAATAAATGGCTTTAAATGCAAATATACTTCCTTAATGAAGTTTTAAAAGCTTTTTGTGCGATTTAGAGACTTAAATTCCGAAAACAAAATTGGTCTAGTAGGTACCTACTTGTTCGTCGAATTTAATTTTGGTGTTCCATTTTAGGAAGTAAATTTTGTTCACTTATATCGACTTAGAAATCAAGATATATCATATAATAGTCCAGTAAATGAAGGACTGAAAAGATCCAAAGCTGTAAAAAAAAAACGGTGATTAGTTCCCACGTAGCTCAATTTGTAGGTCATCGCAGGTGTTTTTAAATGAGAAAATCCTTAACGCGTTCTTGGTACCGGAAGGGGCTGAAAATGGACCCCTAAACTCTGAAAAACGGGTTTCCCGCTAATATCTGGCCAAATATGCCAATTAGAGAAAATTTGTTCAGACAAAAAATGAAGATCAGCTCATTTTCTATAAAAATGATCCCCGCCAATTTTTTCACAATGCCAATATTTTTTGCAAAATCAGACTTCGAAAAAGCCATAATTTTCATATTGAATAGATATGGTAGTTTCTTGCCGAATTTCCGCTCGATGGTGTTTGAAATGCATTGATTTTCATCTTTTGGACTTTAGAGACCAATTGCAGATGGCGCCAGCACCTTTGCTCTTCTCGCTAAATTACGGAGTCTGTAAATGAAAATCTCGGAAATAATCGATTATTCGACAATTACTAGCGGATTTCACCTGATTTTTTTCTGCAAAGTAGCGCTTGGGCTCTCTCAATTGTATTAGCGAATGTTCTGTGCAATTTGAGTTGCAAATTTACCAGAAAATTGCAAAAAATTATTTTTCCTTGTGCCAAGGTTTTGAATCCTGTTGTTTTGGCTAAAAGCAAATGACAACTTTTAGAGCGTGGTGAATATTCACCATACAACCATTCTAAACATTTTTCGCATTTTTGCGATTTTTTACAAACTTTTTCGGAATAATATGGGTGCAGGATTTCGGAAAAAATACGTCTTTGAAAAATTACATTTATTTGGAAGAATTGGTTGGATATAAAACATACATAACAACGTTTAGGGTGTGGTCAACCACTCCAAGTCATCAGAATCATATACATATTCTTCATCATCAACGGTATCTCGTCGCCTACTCCCAAATAGCATAGAGAGTCATAATTACTATTACTTTAGTATTTATTACTTTAATTTAGTAAATATGTAGTAGCTACAACTATAAATGCATGTTTAATGTAACAATTTATATTTCTAATGATACAGTCACTAAAACGTAACAGTTATTCTCAGTGTGTCGCTTGTAGTTATGGTTATACAAACACCCATAACGAAATTACAATAACCGAAAATTTACTTAAAAAATGTATTTAAAGTAATTTTTACTTTAAAGTCACCATCTTATAGTAGCGGAAACCATAAAAGTAACAACTGCTAGTAATTGGAACTTAACTGGGTGCTTCATTATAATTTTATATTTAGAGTAGCATGTAAGTTAAAATCATTGTAGGTGGATAGTAAATGTTACCTGAGGATATACTTTGCAGTAGAAGCATAGTTGCAAAATTGACTTTATAGTCGCGCTTACTTTAATTAACAATATTTTGAGTTATAGTTACTAAAGGCAAAATTACTTTGAAGTGGTAGTATTATCTTTCATAGTCACAACTTATAATTCGGCCATATATTTTAGGTGAAATAAGATATTATGCATTTTTTTTAACATAAAAAATTGATTAATTTTAAAATTTTCACTTAATAATTGCCATTATTTTAATAGGAACTATAAATTTAACACCTTTAGATACACTTAAGTACTATGACTCATTAATATCCTGAACGTATATTTTTAATTGCATTGAAACACAAACCCTTAGATATTTTAATTTAAGTATAAATGGACTTAGGCCACTTTCAAAATAAACGGTTCAAATATTACACCGACCTAATCTTGAGCCAGCGATTTTTACTTCGCGTTTTTACCCGTTCAACGCAAAAATAGTCCCTCATCGCAAAAAGTGGCACGTCGGATTTTTTGCTTGTTATTTGTAATTCAAAGTAAAGTTATTTATCGATAGATTTTTTCGTTTTTGCTTGAAAATTTTCTTCTAGACGTCTATAGCAATAAAAAAATCTTGCTAATATTCTTACGTCCGGTTTTGCTATTTCCGGTGTAGGGATTTCGGCCAAGTCACTGGATATTTGTGTTTATCAACGAAATTCGGGATATAGCTTAAACGCGTTTTTCTGAAGCTAAGATGATATGCAAAAAAAGGCAACCTGGCGAAAAGTGACCTGTTTTTGAAATAGGTGTAAAATGGGAACCAAAAGTCGGAAAAGGTTTAATTGCTCTCAAAATGTTTGTATGACTCAGTATTGGCCTTGCAAGCATTTTTCACTCCATTCACCAAAAATGTAACTATTTTCACACGTATTTCACGAAAACTCGGGTTGAATAAGAGGGTGTACCATCATTAAAAAATAACCCAAGTGTCTATTTTTTCAGTTTATTCTACTTTATTAAATTTAAAATGCAATAAAAACCTCAATGCTAACTTTATTAGTTCAAATAAGTACATAAAATTTGTGATGCCAGAAAAAAAATGTGAAAAAGACCATAGCTACTGAGTTTTAATTTAATTTTTTTATGCTTAGTTATTAGTGTTATTACTTACTGCAATGTTTTTTGCAGTAGATGGTGTTCCAAAAACAGTTGAATCAGAACTGAAAACCCATACATTAGATATACATACATATAGGTAATAAATAATGTTTAGTTAGAGGTAAACAAAAAATTAATATTTTGTATTTTTACCTGTTGGATAAGTCATCCAAAAATAGAAAGCCCTCACACCGTCTGGGGTTTGCATCTTTTCTGATATATTTAGCACCATTTGCACGTACCAAAACATCTTCAGGAAAAAAGTGTTCTGAACACAACTCTGGGTTTTTACGAAGGGGCTGATTTTCAAGGATCCCTACTAGAGAAAACCAAAGTTTTCTTTTCTCAGGATCTTGCAGAAACCTAAATAGAATATTAAAAAATATGTATAGGTGCCTAATAGGTAAATAATTTTTAAGGTATTCTACAAATTTTCTTTGCCACTATTCAATAATTATTTATTGGTATAAGAATAATTTACTAATTTATAAAAGGAATATCACTTTAAAAACTGTTTTAAGACTGTTTTAGACTACAATACAATTTCTTGTACAATTTAAATTGTATATTATCAAACCTGCAGTAAATTGTCTGAAAAATTAGATTGGATAATCATTTTTCAAACAATTTACTATGTGATCCTATACAATTTAAATTCTATGAGAAATTATATCAAATCTTGTACAAGAAATTGTATAGTCAAAACAGTTTTAAGACGGGTGCCCTACTCCACTGGTTCAAATGAAAACAACATATCTTAACCTAAAAATACTTACCGATGAAAGGATAAATTTTGATTTAAATGATCTACCTTATTGAACACTACACATGCATGTACCATAATTCTTTATATTTCTCACAAAAGTTCACAAAAATAGTATTTTATAAATGAATAAATCAATAAGTCACACAGAAACTGTCAGAAACTCAAAACAGCTGTTAGACCCGATTGGCAACGTTGCGGCTGGTTACGGTAACTACATTTCATTCATAAAAATAGGTACTAGTTGTAAATTCGTAAAATAAGATATTCAGCGTTGCCGTATTTACGGAGTTCTTTGCAACCCTAATATTTTGTTTAGATTAATATTGATTTTTAATAAAAAAAAATAGCTTATATTAAAACTTTAAAGAATAATTTGATTAAAAACATATTTTTATTTAAATAATATAAAATTATACATCAAATTTTATTTTTCGTAAGTAGTTTCTCCAAATAATTTTTACAGACTGATAAAACCGGCAAAGACGCAATAAACGAGAATCTGGTGGGAATAATGATTTGCCACATAAAAATGTAAACAATTTGGTCTCTTAATTGTAATGGTAGTTTAATTTATTTATAGTTTATTTATTTAAAACACTAACGTATAACGTACTAATTAATTTATATAATACTTAGGCACTATTATAACTCACAATTCTAATTTATTTATTACAATTTATCTTTTCTGTCCAACGCTTAAATTGAATCTTCCCGTGCGTTGACAAACTCGTGCTATTTATATAAAGCCAGCTCTGTACCAGAATACTTTCCAGAACGGTCGAAAACTGCCTCTCTATGACTCGTACGCCGCAAAGGGATCTATCCGGTAGCTTCTCGAAGTGGTGCGTTTCTTTCTATATGGCCAGCGCTAGACTTCATACCGCGTGCAAGTAGTAAACAAGGTACAGAGACGACTCCGCGTAACAATGTAAATGTTACTATGCCTAAATGTTTATGATTATATTTTTGTTATTATGTATTAATTCGTTACATTATGAACAAGTCTTAAAATTTTCACTTTTCACGTGATTTTCTAATTATAAATTAAATAAGCCACTGAAATTATTGAATAAAACATTTTGCTATATATATGGTATGCAATAAATGTATTCTAATTTAGTTAACCTTTTTCTGACAGTGACGATGGTCAGCTATTCAGCGGAGCTATTTACCAACAAATCAACCCAAAACTGGAGACCGGAATTAACTTATCTTGGGCAACAAGTGGCGAGAAGACCGTTTTTGGCTTGGGCGCCAAATACAACCTCGATCAGGATGCAGCTCTTCGCGCTAAAATCAACAACTCTAGCCAGATTGGGTTAGGATACCAACAACGTTTACGAGATGGTAAGTGTCGATCTTCCGAATTTAATTTACTTTTAAATAATTCTCGAGAAGAAAATTATATTTACTGGTGTTTTTAAATTTCATGATCTGGAATTTCATCACCACCTTATAAATTTGTTGTTGGCTAGTCAAAAAATATACAAGATGGTGCAAAATTTTGCCTAACCTTTTCTGTTCTTGAGATCTATATTATGTGTATGTTATACTAAAATTTATAACAAAAGCTACAAGTGCATAAACATCGCTTTTGAATTATTTGGCCCTTTCGAAGCTGTGTGAGAATTATTATTAGCTTACATAGTCAAAATGAGGCCCATATTAATTTCTGCAATTGGTCACTACTAAAGTTTTTCTGTAAGTTTTGTAGTATTACCCAAGTAGAAAACATTATTTTCAGTCTACGTTGTAGGTAGTGATTTTTAACATTTTAGGATAATGAATATTTTTTGTATGCTATTTTTAATATACGTTTTTCTGAAATTATCTGTTCAATAACTTTCATAATATTCCGGTTTTAAGAAAATCTTTGGAAATGTTTTTATTATAGGTAATATTATTGATATTTGTGCCATCATCATCTTTCAAATTATAACGCCATCCTCAATTTTTTTAAATAATATATATATTTAGATAACGCCATTATTTGACAGCACATTTTTTACATACACAGTACACTGATTGGCAGTATTACTCTTTGGTATTATTTAAAAATTGTTGAGGTATATGCTTGGATATTATCAAGAATTAAATTTGAAAAGTCCTACAAAAATAGTTTTGTATTAAAAATTTAAATTAATAATACTATTTTTATTATGATTAATTTCTTTTCATATTAAAATCATTTTAATTTTGATACTTAAAGTTTAAAAAAAATTCTTGTCTTATCATTTAAGGGAAGAGGGAGTTCACGATTTTCTTATACCATTGAAAGTTTACTTGGATACCATTATGTTCTAGTTTTACCTTATATACTAAATTTTTTTCGTAAAATCAGTATATTATGAAAGTTATTAAATTTACTTCACACTTTATCTACTCACTGTAATAGTTTGTGCATCAAGGGTTGATAGGCGATCCATTTTAGTTAAATGATATTACGTGTTTTTGAAAAATAGATATGCCTATAATGTAGAAAATAATATATTGTTTAATGAGTAAGAAATAGTACTCGTATTACGTAGGTGTATTCTTAATGTGAAGAAGTTGCCAAAATATATTTAGGCTAAATGACAAAAATGAAATGTTTGTTTTTTATGTCACATTCAAAATCAATTATTCTTAAATCGTCAGAAAATATGTTATACAGAGGTCTCTCGGTAATCCGACACTTCGCCGACCCGGCCCTGCCAGTAATCCCCCGTTGCGAGGAGCGTGAGTGGCGACACTACCACCGCCTTACCTCAGTCAATCATTGCGTTCATGCTGCTAAATCACATCCGGCGTGTTTTATTTCTCCAGTGTAATTTTGCTCATAAATATTGTATAGTACAATAAAATATATTATCTGTCATAAAATGCGTTTTTTATTAATAGTTTCCAGTAATCCAGCGTTTTCGGCAATAGGGAAGTGCTCTGGTCCGATATAGGTCGGATTACCGAGAGACTACTGTATTTAGCCACTGCAAAATTTGACTTAATGATGGACTATATAGAGGGTGTCTGTAAAAAGGTATTTACATAAACATTCCACATATTATTTAGATCGAAATAAGTCTATTTTAGTGAACTTACCTTAGTACAAGCGCTAGGCAGCAAAGTAATGGAATTTTTGTCGTCTTATATATTTTTGTATGCATAAAAATGGTGAACACGGAACAGTATTTATGAAATCGTTATTTGTATTCATGTTTTAGTATTTTTTTGTGAAATCTACAGTCCAAATTAGAGTACCTTGTTTGTAGTAAATAAGTTAAGCAGTCCAAATTTCATACTCAACCCCCTTTTCTTCCATTGGCGAATATTGTAGTTACGCATTTTTTTTTCTGTTTCAGGAGTAACACTAACCTTGTCTACTCTCATTGATGGTAAAAACTTCAACCAAGGAGGCCACAAAGTCGGTTTGGCTGTAGAATTGGAGGCTTAAAATTTTGTTAAATCTTGTTCCACAATATTAGCGCCACTGTGTATTTAAGAAATGCTGTATTGTAGATAATTGTTTTGGAAAAAAGGGAGATTTAGTGTTATACTCTGTATTCGATTTTCCTTTAACGTCAAATCACGTTTTTTACACATTGTACATAATAATATGAATTAATGTAGTTCAGGATGTCCCAGTTCAAGTTAGGTATTTTTAGAGCACAAAGTGATGGCAAGTTTATTATATGTCTTAAACAGGGGGAGGGGGACTTACTGGCTACTTTCCTTTTTATCCTCAAGTTGGCTTTTAATTCAAAATATGTACCAGAAAAAAGTATTGTAAAACGAAATCAATATACATATATAATTTACAGTTTGTCTTTGTTTCATTTCAAAGTGAAAGTTGTTAGATGTATATGCGTTGAGTAGAATGAAAGTGGAATTCAATCCTTCGTATTTTGTGTAATGGTGTACGATGTTTACACCCGGTTGCAAGAAACTTGTTAAATCTCAATAGCTAATGATCCCATAACTTTATTAGACTCCATCATTTGAAGTTCATGTCATTCAAACATCACATTCTCAAACTACTACATAGTTTATCAGTTATTAATGTATAAAATCCTTACGTTCGGCTGCTTGATTAATAACATCATTCAACATGAAATTTTAAATAGAACAAGTAAAAGTTGGAAAGGCTTTTGCCAGTTCTCCCACTTTATACACATAAATTGACAGGTTTGCCGCGGATATCACCGAAGTGGACGCGATACATTGGCGTACAAAATTATTTTGTAGATGTTAATAACAATTTCGAGTAAATAGTTTAATAATTTGTGAATAGCTGTTGAAATTTTGTAAAATTATGATTTGAATAATATAATACATATTTAATAATTATTTATAGTCCATAAATACATGCGATTGTCCGGTTCCGCCGATAACAATTTAAAATTACTTATTCTATGAAACGACACTGGCAGGTAAACATTACTGCGAAAATCTCGAAGCCGTCCGACGTGGTTTTGACATTTACCCCCTCTCTACCTACCAAAAGCCTTTCCAACTTTTACTTTCTCTATATGCATACCTGTATTTATGTCACTAAAATAGTTTTTTCAAGTTTATATGGAAAATATCATTTTGCAATAAAACTCGAAATCGTCAACAATATATTCATGCTGCATGCGATTATCGAAGGCAAGATTCATTCGTTTTATATAGGATTATCAGGGCTGGAGGACTTCAGTCTATGGCCTGTGGGAAAGCAACTTAATAAAGAACGTTTATTATTATTGTGACGAACAACGTGATCCCCACTAAGGGGGTTATGATTGACAACCTGTAATTTTTAACAGGTCTGTTTATTTATAAACACATATAAATTACAACCTGTTCACAAATAACGTGTCTGTTAAAAATAACATTATTTGTCGATCATAAACCTGATAATCTTACCTTTAGTTTTGATTTTCATATCATTTTAAGACTTAAGGTCGACTGTGTTTAAGGTTAGTCAAGTGTCAATGTCAGGAACTGATGTCATAATTATTTTAAGTCCTAAGCAGATATACAGGGTGGCTCACGCTCAACGGGACGGAGCTTTATGGGAAAACGACCAAAGATATAACAAATTCGTTTGGGAGGAATACGTAGGTTACAGACGGCTACAATATAAAATTTGTTAGATGTATACAGGATGTCCCACATAAGAGAAAATATACAAAGTTATATTATTTTTATTGGAACACCCTGTTTTTTATTTTAGAATTAAAAACTACATCAAAAATAATGTCAGTTAACTAAAGGTTCCCTATTACTATTATTATTAGTTTTCGATTTATTTGAATTTTTAAGGAAAAAATAGTCTCCGAGAAATTAATTGTTTACTCTTGTTTGAATAATTTTTAATGAACTAATTTTTTTTCATTTATGTGGGACATCCTGTATACATCTAACAAATTTTAAATTGTAGCCGTCTGTAACCTACGTATTCGTCCCAAACGAATTTTTTATATCTTTGGTCGTTTTCCCATAAAGCTCCGTCCCGTTGAGCGTGAGCCACCCTGTATAATAACAGATTTTCAATACAAAAAATTTCCATTACAATATCGGTATAACAATATATACATTGAAAATAAAAGGCGAAGTTCAACTTTTATCATAACAATGGCCTTTGAGGTACATCATAATCCGTCAAACCTTGGTAACGGTTGGTATAAAAAAAAAAAAACAAAAAAGCAGAAGATGTAAACAAGACAGTACAATTATTAGACCTCTGAAAAATATATTGTAGTTAATTAATAAAATTGTTTTGAAATAATCAAATAAGTTTTAACTCCATCCTACAATATAACAAACCTAAATTTTCCGTTGCTTCGGTAATTTTTCATTCTTTACGGCTTGTTGCTACCTCTCCAATTTTAAATCCCCTCTCCCTCAGATCATCTTCCACTGTCTTCCGCCTTCTTGTATCTGCTGTTCTTCACCCATTTCTATTTGTGACACCTGCTTTTCTTAAACGCCCTAAAGGTAGTCTAAGCAATTGCATTTTTGTTACAGTTTTAATGTTTTTACTAATAATTAAAACACGATATTCTCCATATACATTCCTAGTCAAAAGTAACGAATAAATTCGATATTAATTTTTGCAATTTTGTTTTTAAATTCCGCACGTTTTGACATAATATACAAGGTGATGCGTGTAAATAATTTCCCCGTCTTCATAATTATTTTTCATTAAAAATATAATTCACAACCATGTTAGCTATTGAATGAAGTGTCATAATATGGAATAAAAAGTGGGGGATGCTATTAAAAAAAGTGTCGACATCACTACAATTACACGATCACCCTGTATCCAAAAGTGCGGAATTGAAAAACAAAAGATGTTTTTAGGATTTTTCCAAATTTCCTTTATTGACTTTATTCCTTACTTTTGACTCGCACTGTATGTGAAAACTGATTTTTTTTTTTTTTTATTTTTAAGGAACTTACATTTTATAAATAATAATTATTCTTTATAAAACTAAAAATGGAGATGTTTTGCCTCTAGTGAACTCAATCTGTGGATACTAATATGCATGATGTTTCCTAAATATACCACCCAAATTTAAGGGGATTATTCCTTGTGTAAAAATAAGAAGAAAAATACATGTCCAGTATATTTCTTTTTCCAAAAATACAGGAGAATATTGGATTCATGCATACCAGCTAGTTACAGTAATTTCCAGTAATTCTTGTAGATTAAGACGCCTTAATTTCATTATTTTATCTATTGCGTCCCCTTCCTATGATTATTCACCCTTTTATGAGTGAATTTTAACCCCAGAAGCCAACAGCTTGTGCGGGAAAGGATGGCTATTATTATTTGCCTTGGCGCTCCGGAGTTACACATGTTGCCATTTGATTTACAGGTGAAGAAAACCGTCATAGAAACTAACCCACTGCGATTTGTAATCTGCAAGTTGTATCAACCGAAATTAAATTACTGCTAACATGGCATCAATAAAATCTGGAATGTGAAAATGGGTCGCCCGTAAATAAATATCAGCCACTTGACACATTGATAAATACATATAATTACAGTTAGTTTATTTAAGACGTGAAAGCTTATTACAAAAAGTCACTAGCTGAGAGTAATATACACAATAATTATTTAATTTGTTAGTTACAAATAAAACAAATTATCTAAAGTAAAGAAATAAAAATATCCATTTTTAAAATTAAAACCGCCAAACTAGCTTCCAATGCAATCTTTAATACGAAAAGCTAAATGGACCTGAATATCAAAACACAGTAGCTTCTCACATGAGTTTATATGGTCAAACGAATATCTTTTATACAAAATATCCATCAAAAATGTACACAAAACTATACATGAATTAAATAGACCAATAGATTAAATAAATTGAAAATATTTTTAAATTAGAATAATTTGAAAATTAATTATAACTAAAACAACTTATGATACCATTTGTTCGTCCATAACCTTCAGCATCCATTCTGGGTGGTGTTTAGAGATGCTCTCGATAATAGAATTAACCTGATAACACAATGACTGGATCTGTTTGTCCCACTGAGGTAAGGTTTCACGAGCTAAAAACAAAACTGAAATTAACGAGTTGAAATTTATTTATTAAAATGTATGCGTTTGACACTCGTCAAAAGCAACAACTTTTTAATGAGGGCTAATGCAGATAGATACCAATTTTGGGGTCTGTGACGAAAAACTCCAGCAAACCATTTTTTGTGTACAACTTTATTTTATAATTACTAATCTTTGTCACTATAACGGTATAGTCTGTGTTAAGCTTTACTGTATTTTTTTAACAAAACAGCAACTTCCTTTCTTCTGATTTTTTTAAATTGTCGATTCAATAAACTGTTTCTTTTATCTACATAAAATGTAAAAGTTGCAATATTATATTTGTTTATTGGAATAAAGGACCCTGCAGTTTCCTTATGGCAAAATGGCCACATACCGTTTTGTAGGTCTCTTAAAGACACATTCAACGCCTAAACCGAATCTTTCTGCTTCAAACAGATGCCGAGATATTTAACAAAAACTAATATTTTTTAAAAAATAAACATAGGGGGGCCATTGGAATATTTCAGTGTCTTTTCGTTTTTCAAAATTTTGAGATATCGCAATATTTATATATACCGTTTTGTAGGTCTCTTAAAAACAAATTCAACGCCGTAAACCGCATCTTCCTACTTCAAACAAATGCCGAGATATTTAACAAAATCTCCAATATTTCTTTAAAAAAATAAACAAAGCGGGACCATTGGAACATTTCAGTCTTTTCGATTTTCCAAATTTGATATATGCCAATATTTATATATACCGTTTTGCAGGTCTCTTAAAAACAAATTCAATGCCGTAAACCGCATCTTCCTACTTCAAACAGATACCGAGATATTTAAAAAAACTCTTAATATTTCTTTAAAAAAATAAATATTATTTGCAAAAAAAATTTTGTGATAATTTTTTTTGATAAAAAAAATGTTTAAAGGGGAGACCATTGGAACATTTCAGTGCTGGAGTTTATATATTCAGTTTTTAATCTTCTGTTTAAAAGTGTCCATGGGCACAAAGTTCACCTATGACTAGTTTTTGAGATACAAGGTGTGAATTCTCATAATTTTCAAAAATACTTAAGAGTAGTATTTAATTGGCTTAAGAGCAGAGCATGCAAGGGTTTACTATTACCCCACTTTTAAAGTTTATTTTTGGCTTTTCCGGAAATAAAAAAACGTGCAATGTAGGTAAAGGTTAAATATGTGCTCCTCTGGAGTAGAAAACTTGACTTTTTTTACCCATTTTCTCAATTTTTTTTTTAGTAAAGACTAAATTGAATTTTGAAAAAGTGGTTCCAGAGGAGCATAGATTTAACCTTTACCTACACGTACATATTTTTTTCTTTTAAAAATAGTAAAAGATAAACTTTAAAAGTGGGGTACTATGAAACCTTTACATTGCATGATTTTTCGTCTGGAAAGTGGCCCCTCTGTTAGATTTTTAAGAAATTAATATTTGTAAATGAAAATAATTTATAATATATTTTCTGATGTTTTATGAGGGATAAATAAATTTTACGTATTTGTACACCTTATTTTTTACGTAAATCATTTCTGTAATACTAAGATTGGCATATATTATATGCAAGGGTTTCATAGTACACCAATTTTACGGATTTTTATTTTTACTACAAGAAAAATGATGTAAGTACAGGTAAAAGCTGAACCCGTACTCCTCTGTAATTACTTATAGACAATTTGAATCAGTCTCTTTTGAAAAATCTAAATGTCTTTCTAATGAAAAGAAGTAAAAATGTTAAAAAGTGCTAGAAGGGAACAATATATTTAATTTGTGCCTATAGGAGCATTTATTTTTCTTACAATAAAAAAAAAGTTATCTTTTTCTACTATTTACAAGTAGATAAAAAGTACTTAAGTGATTTGAATTTATTCTGTTTTATTTCTGTTCACTTTATTTTTTACATAAAGTAATTTCGCTCAATTATTTTAAATTAATTTTATCATTTATTTATTAAAATAATATATCCCAAATTAAAAGGTATACAGTGAGATGTGAATTATAAATATGTTTTTGTTTAACTTTTATATCATGAAAAAGTTAAGTAAAATTAATTTTAATGAAGAAACATAATTAAAACCCCTTCAACAAAAGTAAAAAGTTGATGAATGTATTAAGTTTTTTAAGCTTTCAACATTTGAAATTCAATTTTTAAAAATTTGGTGTATAGGGTGTTGTTTTAGGGTGGGTCAAATTATAATAATTTTTGTTAACGCGAACCTGGATTTTGAAATTTTTTAATGTGTCGATAAATTGTCCTATAGGGATGGATTATCTATGCCAAATATAAAAAAAAATACTGAGTGATTCAAAAGTTATGGAGCACGGAAGGAATGGGAAAAAATCAAAAAACATTCTGTAACTCGGTTATAAAGGTCGCAAGATCCATACTATATTGGTTTTTTTGTGATCCCTGAGGGACTTCTATACCTATAGAGCTGTAAGACTCTTCTCTGACGGTTATGTAGAGAAGAAATAAGGTCTCTGAAGTAAAAACATGCCTAATATATACTTACTTTCAAAATGGACTATAGAATCAATTTGGTCAATGTAACCATTCATTCTTCCTTCAGTGATCATTTGGCTTGCAATCTTTTCTGCTTTTGATGGTACAATCTCTAATAGCGCTCCAAGTTCTTCGAAACTAATGTTATTGTATAATTTACTGGCTGAGAGTAAGTTGTGTTCTATAACAGCTCGGTCAAGGATAGTTGAGCCATCTAAGGTAGATGCTTTCTGATGAGGTTGGAGCAACGCTTCAAAATCTCTTAGTTCCGATCTGTTGGTAAAATGTAATTTATTGTAAAATGTTGAAAATTAATTATTTAAAATAAGCTGTGTTAAACAGGAGTTACGCTTCTATTATTAAGGAAAGAAAAAATTATATGTGAAGCAAGGTATCCTAGGTCCATGATACTGATTTATAGAAGAGTGATGTTCAAATCATCTATATTGACAAAAAACATTTATTTGTAATTGTTTTATTGTGGACTAACTACTACATCAAAACTCGTTAAGATTAAAATTAAAAATAAGCTAAAAATATATTTAGGAGACCCTATGCTTTCAATAACAAAATAGTATTTCCGAGAAAATTTTCTTAAAATCTAAAAAAAAATCTGATGTGCCCAACACATGACTTTCCTATCTAGTTATTACAGGTTTTTTCCGGTTATTTTGTACAACCTATTGCAGCACCTCTATAAATGTTTAGAGGATAAACTAAATATATACATTTTCCACATACATCTAACTCACATTTTTCTATAGATTCATTTAAAACGAAAATACTGAAAAATTTAAATTTAGCACTTTTCCTCCAATTTTTCCATTACGGTCCATTTTAGAAAAAATCATGTAAAAAACAAAAATTATACAGATCGATATCGCAAACAACTTTTAGTTTAACAATTTTCTTAAAAATCAGAAGTTTGCACATTTTGTCAAATTTCTCGAATACGGACCATTTCAGGAAAATTTGACATAAAGCAAAAATTATAGACTTTGTCCAAAATCTAATCATTTCACGTCAGGCCGAAACAAAACTTATGTTTAAAATTTAATGTTTTTTTCTTTATCCGTTTTTGAGTTTTCTTCAAAATTCGAAATTTACACATTTACTCAAATATCTCGAATACGGTCCATTTTAGAGAAATTATGTATAGGATAAAAATTATAGAGAATTATAATACAAATAACTTTTATTTGAACAATTTTTATAAAAAATTATTTTTTTTTACATTTTGTCAAATTTTTCGAATATGGACCATTTTAGGAAAATTTTATATTAGAGCAAAAATTATAGAGAATAATATAAGTAGTAACTTTTATTTGAAGAATTTTCTTCTCCAAACGTAAATAACAGATTTATTCCATAAAATATAAAAATGACCACCCATAAGGTACTCCCCCCCCCCCCAGATGTTCCGACTCTACCCAAAATCTAATCGGTTCAATGGAGGCCGGAATAAAGCTTAAGTTTAAAATTTGGTATTTTTATTTGTATTCGTTCATGAGTTATCGAGGATACAGACAGACATCATCGCGAAAATAGTCAAAACGGATTCAGGATACCCCAAAATGTAAAAAAATCGAGGTCGAAAAAATTATGATTCCTATAAAAATGGGTAAGCATTTTCTGCCAGCCTTCAATATTAAAACCTAAATAAATAAAAATGCCTAAAAATATTAAAAACTATTTCCTTCAAAATTAAAATAATTTGTATTAATGTTTTAAAGAGCATAATTTTTAACAATTTTAAACAATTCTATAAAATTTTATTTAACAGCTGTAAGAAAAATGAACTCAACTTTAAATAAAATTAGCCTATATCTTCAAAACAATAAACTTAAATTTAATGTTGCTAAAACCACATCTATGGTCTACACCAAGGATCTCCAAACTTTCCATCCTTAGGGCCTTACTGATTACTACAGTAAGTTCCAAGGGCCAAAACCGTTTTAATTTTGCTACAATTATCTATAATTTCTAGACTAGTCGCCGAGAACGCGCCCTGTGCGAGCATACACTTGCTAAAGTTGCTAGTTGAATTACTATTGTGTGACGAAATCTGGTAGTCAAAAGCGAAAATAGGTAGTGGTAGTATCCTCTATCGCTAGTAGTACTTTCGAAATCGCAGTAACAATTAAACATTTGTGAATAACCACAGTGGTTCGAGAAAGTTCTGGTGTATTCCACTCACTTCGAGATGGCAGTAATTGGAGTATAAAAAGGTTAGCGGTGCGACCAACACCCTTACGTAACAGTATTTTGATATGACTTGTTTTTGCGTGTGATTTACTGTTAGACTAGGTAATAAAGAGACGACTCATAACGCCGCTGAAAATCTTGTTTCATTCTGACACCAACGATATTTGACAAAAGGCATAACATGTTGGAAATAATAAAACGAACTTATATTTATGTTATTAGTACTTTATTGATCTTTTTAGGTATAAAGCAAGTTCAAAGCGTAAAATTTATAAGATACAAGAAAAAATATATTGAAACAAACTGAGTGAAATCGTTTACATAATAAAATAAGTGGTTTTTTTTAATGCCGCAAAATAAAATATAATGATCTACATGTATTACAAAAAGATTTTTTAGGTCTTTTCCTTTGCATCAAAAGTGTAGCACTGAGCTACACCACTTCTGAAAATATAGTTCAATTCATACAAATTGTATACCAGGACGTTTTGACGAAAGTAAGACATGAACTGGACGTCTTTAAGATATAGTGTACTATCTGGGTATTACTAAATTAAGCTAGTAAGAAAATATATACATCAATTAAGATAAATTTATTACTGACCCTTAATACTAATTTGGTATAATAACAAGAAGTTTTAGTGGAACAACTCTTTTTTATATCTTTCAAGTTTTTGTTTAAGAACTTTAATGTGTCATGTTTTTTTCTTTATTCTTTTCTACCTGTTGTAAAAGTTGTTTTCTAGGCCGTTTTATGCTAGGGATTTCTAGGATAGATTTCTTGTTTGAAGTTCTATTTGAAGAGCCTGGCTCAGCTTCCAAATGCAATGCTCTTCTTTTTAAGTCCTACAATCATTTATTACGGTAATGTTTTGAATTATACATAAACGGGTTGCTAAATTCTTAAAAGTGCATAACAATAATGAAAAGTAATTAAAAAATATATATGTTTAACTATGTTTATTAGTATACGCACCTTCTTCGACTGCATGTATTTAGGGAATTTATGAAGTATAGTGGGAACTGATCCATTTAGTAAACGTCTTTTACAGTCCGTCCCATAAAAAATGTGTCTTTCAAAATGTTTTGAACACAATCTATAATTTGGCATAGGCATCCAATTTGCAATTTTCGTTGCCTGAATCCAAAGATTTTTTGCTGGATCCACAGGAAATCTAAAATAAAACAACAAATAAACATTGCTGCAATTAAATAAAAAGCATAAGTAAATTAGACTTTAATAAAAGTTAATATTTAGAATTGTACAACACGCCACTGGAAAAAATTACTTTTTTGGCCATTTTAATATCATTAATTGCTTAAATATTAATGAAAAGCATAAAATAAACAAACACACTTGGTGGGTAAAATTTATTACTCTAGAGTGAGACATGTACAATATGTAAATACCAACAAATAAAATGTTATCATTTACCTGTGAAACGTAATATCTGCTTCTTTCTTGCCACTATAACTTTAACACTGATATGCCACACAATAAACCATTGTAATAAACCAATTATTAAATGTAGTTTAATTCAAAAATCAGAAATAAACAGGAACAAAAACTTTGATGTCACCGAAATGACAAGCACCAAAATAATGGCAGCCAATAAATAATCGGCACAGAATACATGTGCTCGATATACTTGTTATGCGTCCTCTCTTTATTACCTAGTCTAAGGATTTACTGGTATGGAAAAGAAGCGAAAAATAGTGAATGCAGAACATTCAAAAAGAAATGGAACTTTCAATATTTCATGAATCAGTACAGTAATAAGGCGATATGTTTAATTTGCAATGAAACCATAGGAGTTCTCAAAGAATATAACATTAAACGTCATGAAACGAAACATTTTAAAAATTACTCAAAATATACAGGAAGTATGCGTACAGAAAAATTTGAAGCTTTAAAGCGCGGATTGAAATCAGCAATCTTTGTTTATGAAAGTCAATATTGAGCAAGAGGCTGCAACTCGTGCCAGCTTTTGTGTGGCTCTTGAAATTGCAAAACGTGGAAAACCATTCACCGATGGAGAAATGATCACAGAATGTGTAATTGCAGTAGTCCTGAAAAGGTAAATTTATTTAAAACTGTCAGTTTGTCAGCAAACACCATTGTTCAGAGGGTACAAGACATCGCAGAATATATATCATCTCAACTGTCTGACAAAAATGGATCTTAGTGGTTTTCTCTGGCCTTGGATGAATCAACGGATGTGTCAGATATTGCTCAGGTGTTGATTTTTATTCGAGGAGCAGATAAAAGCTATGAAGTGTATGAAGAACTTCTTGATATTTATAGTATTCATGGCACAACTACTGGGGAAGGAATGATTGCACTTGTGTCAAAGGCTGTAGAAAATGATGGTGGTTTAAAACCATTAGTTTTACATTGTATCATTCATCAACAGTCCTTCTGCGGAATATGTTTGGATATGTCTGAAGTTTTAAAACAAGTCATATCAGTTGTTAATTTCATCAGATCCACTGGACTGAATCAATGACAATTCCGCGAGTTTATTGAAGAGATGGGAGAAAATGACTTACCATATCATACATATCATCTTCGAATAGTGATCGAAATTTTACACCAGCTTTAAAGTTTGAATTCCAATGGGGTTTAAGAGGAAGAAAGATTTATCAATCATTATAGTGATATCTTTTTTTTTTTCAGAATATCCAGAAAACTAAGTTGTGGACTAGGAGGTAGATTAAAAGTGGGTGGTGTGAAATATAAAAACTTCTCTAATGGTTTTAAAAATGAAAAGGAGTCTAGTGTTACCCAATGATAAGTTAAACAGAATATTTTTTATTGTTTTCGATTATTTGTTATGAATCCCTTATTATTGGACTACCGCTTTTCTTGCTAAGGTGTGCTTGATCTAAGTAAAAATTATATTTTACCATCTGATGTCTTTTATTATTTGATATAATCTGTATTTGTGACATTGTCAGCTATTTAATTTATGTAAGGTTTGTTAACATTTTTAATTTTCTGATCAACATTTACTTATTGTAAGTTTTCTTTCCTTCTAGATCTGATGATGGTCTTTGTCCCGAAACCGGTTTGCGATTTAAGAGTTATTGCTCCGTTCATGAGAACTAATTTGTCGGCATATTACTCCTATTATACCCCTACCTTCAACCCTACCTTCAACATTCCAAGAACGGGTCGTCGAGCCACATTTCCCCTATCATAGGAAATGGATCGGCGATTTATTTAGTTATACCGGTGAATTGAAGAATTGAACGTATTTAGTAAAATTTTGAGCCTAAAAGAGAAAGTTATTTGTGAATGTTCCAATAAAACTAAGAAAATTAGTTAGTCAAAACATTCTTCGTTTAAGAACATCTGTTACGAAGGCAGTTTCTTATAGAAAATAAAATAGTCTTAGCACTATTAATAACATTTTGCTTTTAAAGAAAGACATAGACAATGCAATTTTTCACGTTTTTGGTGATTATGAAAACGGCGATATTTATTTTTGTCAGAAGCATACAGATGAAACCAAAAACGAAATAACCAATTTCAGATCTAAACCTGAATTTTTTACAAGACTTCTACAAATTATACATGCTTTGTCAGATCATAGCAGAAGTCTATTATATGATGTTGATAGTAATATTGTGGAACAATTTCATGCGACACTCGCTAAGTTTGTAGGTGGCAAAAGAATCAATTATTCCAGAGGGCGCTCTTACCAAAGTAGATGTTTTGCAGCAGTTGTATCATATAATTCGAAATCAGGGAATTCAGAATTAAAAAAAAAAAAAAATTAAACCGTACTAACCATTCCATGTTAGTAACTGAATTGGAAAAAAAAAGGCGACAATTAGCAATAAAATCAAAATCATCTAATCGCAAATTAAAAAAAAGTTACTCTGCAAAAACCAATAAAACTGATTTAGATTATGGAGAAAATTTTACCAAAAAGGATTTAGATCAAGATATTTATGAAGTAAAAAAACTTCAATTTTTAAAAGAATTCCCTTCATCTGACGTTAAGAGAAATGTAATTTAGGAACAAACTATGTCACAGGCGGATAGCAGGGTTTGGCTTGAAATTCGTAGAAAAATGATTACGGCCTCACACTTTAAAGCAGTGTGTACTAGACGAATTACTACTTTATGTGAGCATTTAGTCAAAAGGATTATTTACTAAATACCAGTCAATGCTGCTATTTCTCATGGCCAAAAGTATGAAAAAAACGGCACTTTTGCAGCTTCAAGAGCAGGAAAATATAGTGATTAGAGATTGTGGAATTTTTATTGACAAAAAATATCCATATTTAGGTACGTAACGATCAGTTCACATTTTTACTCACATCTCAACTATAACATATTGCAAATTAGTTCATTTTAAATCAAAATAATAATTTTTAAATTTGTAGGTGCTACTCCAGGCGGCATTGTAGGGGATGAATTAGTGGTTGAAATAAAATGTCCATACGCTGCATATCAAATGCAGGTAGAAGAGGCCATTAAATTAAAAAAAAACCCTTTTGGATTTTTAATAAAGACACCAATAATTTTGACATTAATATCCACCATCAATGGTATTATCAAATACAAGGCCAATTACATATTACATGACGAAAAGGATGTATTTTTGGTGTATGGACAGGTCCCAATTATCCACTTAAAGTGGAATATATAATAAAAAGAGACGATTTCTGTTGTAAAAATAAAGAGAAGTTAAAAAAGTTTTATATAAACTGTATGTTGCCAGAATTGGTAAATCCAAGGCATAATCGGGAATGTCAATAAGAAAACCTGATTACATCTTAGAAACTATTCAAAAATAAAAAAAAAAAAACAAAAAATAATTACCTCCAAAAAGTCAAATAACATTAATAGTAAGATGTTTCTACAAAGCCGCTATTTATTCTAAAGAAATTTTCTTTAATATTTTTTATTTTAATCTAGGTACTGTTAAAACGCTTTGACTAATTTATTTGTAGTATTGGGTCCAATTAAGTTACAAAAAATTAATAACTGATCATTTTAAATACATTTCTTATGCCTAATATCGAGCTGTTTAGTCAAACGCCCTACTCGTCACAAAAACAAAATTAAATTATTTTATAATTTGTGATACATTTACATCATATCTAAAAATGAAAAAAATATTTGATGTACAGGGTTCATAATATATTACGCCAATTTTGGCGTTTGTTTGTCCTTCTATAATATCCACTTATTTTAAAAGCAAAAACTCTTTAAAATCATTGACATCAAAAAGAGAAAATATGTATTTATATCTCAAAGTTAGCAACAACAAAATATGATAACATTCAACGGCCACCCATCATGAAATTCGGACCAATCAAAGCCGGATAGTAACAAAACACTTCGCCTCTGTTCCCTCAGTTTTTAAAATATTATTTCTATAAGAATATCTTTTTGAGTTTCAGTCAATATATACCTATAGACAGAAATAATTCTAAATTTCATTCTCTTAAACCAATAGCATAAGTTACGAATAAAAGGCATTCGTAAGTATTGTAAAAATTGCAAAATACTATTATACGTTAAATGGTGTAAAATAATATATTTTATATATTTGTACAAAATAAAATATTAAGTCATCTTCTTGCTTTATTTATTCTATGCTGAAAAGTGGGCATCCAAGGAAATGTCTTTCTGTAAAAACTTTTATAGTCTACAAATTATCAGATCACTACAACAGCAGACAGCAACAAAATCAGGAAAAAGTTGTAAGTAAAACTATTTTCTCCACGTTTCATTCACAGATAAGTCAGGAAAGATGTAAATTATTAATATATTATGAAACATTTGTTAAATACATTATTTATAAGGCTGATTTATAGATTTTATTATATTAGTAGCTTAGTTGATATCCTTTGCAAAATGAATTATTTTAGAAAATATAATATATACCTACTATACAAATAAAATTCTTCTACCTAATTTTTTCTAATCAAACTATGTTTTAAACATATTGAAACATTGCAAATTCTATATTGAAAACAAAATTATCTCATGTAATAAAATTTTCCTCTTCGCACCAACCGAGCTACACTAAATTTCAGTTCGACCCTATATGTACCCTTATTCCGTATCTGGCCAAATTTCAATACTAGGTAGACGACGAAGACAACAGCACCCATCCTTCGGTACGAACACGGAACGTCTTGAGAGGGGATATCGTAATCACATTTTTCAATCATTTTTATATCCGAAATTACTTTGCTATTTTAATAATTACGGCTTTATATTAAGTCCAATTTTAAAAATTATTTTTTGATCTTATTAAGAAAAAGATTTACTACAAGTTGACATTGATCGTTCGAAAAATAATGCATATTTGATAATGTTAATTCTCTATTAAAAGTTGTCCTTTTTTAAACAAAATTAATAAACTATAAAAAAAATTGTAGACAAAACGGACCATTTTTTCGAAAAAGTATGAAAACCCAGGGCTAGTGCCACTTATTCTCTTTGCACATAAAAAAATATATGGTATTATCTTTAAAACTGTGTCTTCTAGGATTAAAACAGAATGCCTATTTTTAATACAAATTTCCTGCTATTGTCATCGGAGCAATAACTCTTAATTGAATTAAAATTATATGTGGGATTCATTTTGTTTTTATCTTATTTAATGTTATTTATTTATATCTCAAAACTTAGGATTCAAAATTTTGTTTCATAATTCCTTACCGTCTAATAATCCTTTCCAAGTACATCTTTTCTAAAATAGCAACAGCTGGTAATTGTTGACACCGTTCATCTTTAAACAAAGTAGCTAACATTCTAGATCGTTGCTGACCAGCAGACGCCAGTACAGTACAAACCAAAGCATTTCTTAAAGCCGTCATTCTTTCATCGTCATGTACTAAAATAACATTAATTATATAAAAAACTAAATAAAAACAAAAATGAAAATTGTAAATCAAATAAGACAAGAGAATAAGAGACCAAGGCTCATAAAAGTGTATAAGATCCATATAATTTAAAACTTATTATCAATAAAAACAGTAATAACTTTCTACAAACCTATTGATCTGTAAGAGAGCTCATTGTATCGTTGTGCAGCTTCTATGAATTTACGTCGATAGTCCAACACCCTTGCATAACACACTTTATAGTAGATTTGGAGTTGTTCATTTCGAGATTCAGCTTGTAAAAGTGATGCTCTATTTATGAAAGCTTCAGCTTGTACAGGATCGTCATTTTCTAAGTATAAGCGGGCGATTTTAAGGTAGGTTTCAAGTTTATAATCAACCTAAAATCAAAACAGATGATGTGAAATATCAATTAAGTATGAGTATACAACAAATTCAAGGGAACCCAAAACTACCTCCATCCATTCAACATCTGAAGGTATAAGTGTCAATAAGTTTTGAGTATACATTGTGACAAAGTGTCAATAGGTAGTGCACCATATGATAAGAGGAATGACTACTAAGGAATTTATGCAGACAACCTACAGATATCCTAAATGTGACAGTGAATTAGGGCAAATTAATATATTTCAAACTTAATGTGTACCTGCTGTGAATTTTATTTTTTTTTTCATATTGTAATCCTAATTTTATGATAGGTAATTATTTACAACATACTGGAATTTCTCGACTCTAAATATTGATGTAATTTATTTACATTATGTACATTATTTTCTTGCTCATACTATTCCTATACCATGGTCAAAAATAGATATTAGTTATCATCTTATCTTTGTCTTTGTGGGTTTTTTGAAACATTTTTTGTGAATCAATCTTTATTTGTTATCAATTAACAGGTGCTATTTTTCAAATTAAAGGCAGAGATTACCAAGATGATTCACTTGTGAACGATTTTGTAAGGATATACTACCTGACACTTGCGCAAGGCCTCCTTTTTATTCTTCTTAACTTGGGATTCCTATCCCACATTTACCTGCATGGTCGGATTATTTTGTCACATCTCAAAGGTGACATGAGCATTTGTAGGTAGAGTGCACACACCTATCAACAATCTTAGTTTTTAAAGGCTATTAATTTGATTTAATTTTTCTACATTGATTTTTGTTACCTTTATTATTTGCATAGTTTTAATCTTTCTTACTGTTTGATTTTCATTTATTTACCACATTAATGTACACTCTTTTGTGTCACACTTGTATTGATACAATGTATTAAATACTCCTTTATATAGCAATTTTAATTAACCATAGTATTGTTCATGCTTATTAGTTTTTACTTAGGTATGTACTTAGTTTTTGTCTTTAATTTTAATTTATAAAACCTACTTTTTTTCTTTTAGACCTGATGATGGCATAATGCCGAAACCGGTTCTCTTTTAACAATAAAATTATATTTATGTGGGACTAATTTTGAGTCATTTCTTATCTAAAACAATTTTATTTTGAGATATTCATTTTAGTCGATATCTTATCGCATATTTTATTCACATAAAGCAAAACACCTCTCCAGAAAAATTATGATCAACTGTGGACTTTGTCACACTTCTTCAAGTAAGTGAAATAGAATAGTTTATGAATGAACTGGTATTATACATTCTTACAATAATTGAATAGTGGAAATTACAAACAAGCTAAATGCCAAAAATAAAAACTGGAGATAAATACTAGTTTCTGCAACAAGAATTGAAATGGACAATCCACTCGAGTTTTACAGTATATTTCTTCTACTACCCACTAACGAAAATCAACCAACATTAAAAATTATTTTAGGTCATTAAGATAAAATAACTAATTTAAAAATAATTTATGACTTTACTAATTTATAAAATAATAAAAAAAAGATTTAATTTAATTTGTCCCCATTCGAGATTTGAACTCAGGCATTCGACATGAAAGGCAACTGTGCTGACCTCACCACCTATGTGCATAATATTTTTGTTTTAATACTCTTAATTAATTTGACTTCATATCATTTTATTTCAATTAACAAATTATTTATAATTATAGACGAAATAGAAATGGTATTATTTTATAGTATATTTAATCTCAATAACTAAAAAATATACATTTAGTCATCAATTATAATAATAATAATAATAATAATAATAATAATAATAGCCTTTATTATAGAACAGATTTATAAAATCCCTTTACAGAGCAAGTAAAAAAATACAACAAACAATAAAAAATATGATACCATGAATTATTTTTTTATAATAATTTCCAAAACTAATGGTTATAATCTGCTATTTTTTAGATTATCTGTAAAGATATCATGGGAATTACACAGATTATTTAAATAATTTTACCTCGGATTTTACATAACATTTAGTGGTGAGTTGATTCATATATTTGTTCTGGAACTGCTACAATAAAAAGTTGATTGATACATATCACTTCACTGTCAATCTCAACTTTACCTTGTCTTTACATATACACCATATCAATATCATAATTAAAGAACATTCCCTTGTGAAATTATGCATAGATGGGATGAATCTGTATCTGTAACGTGTGAATGGTGGGTTACCCCACGGCACTTAAGCCCCATTAGGCCCACTGTGCATCCTTTTAAGATGATAAGCACCTCCTAGCTCGTGAACCAGCCTACAGATTTAATGTAGTTGACAACGTCGCCAAGAGGTGCTTCTCTTATATCGGCCGGTGTTAGCCGATACTCGCCGAACACAAATCTAATAAATGAAAGTGTTGAGCAATCGTAAAGGCTATGCTTGATGGTCTCATCTTCTTGTTCGCACCCTCTGCAGAGTGCGGATTCTGACAGGCCCATGATATGGAGATGCTTCCGTACTTAGCAATGACCAGTCAGAATACCTGTGACTAGGCGCAGATTCTATCTAGTCACAGTCAAGTATTTGTTTGCTGCAGTATTGTCAGGATAACTTAAGAGCTCCCTGGCAATTCTGCAGTTTCTTGTTTCATCTTCCCTTGTATTTCAGAAGGGAATGTTCTTTAATTAGGTCTGTTACTTCCGATTTTGTCAGGCCAGGTCTAAAAAGTATTTGATTGGTTGCTTTCTTGGATAGTGAATCAGCAAGACCTTTCGATGTGGCGTGACCTTTGATCTATCTTGAGGTGACCACATTGTTGATGGATACTTTGGCCAAAGCTTCGTGACATTCTAGTACTAACCCTAAGTAAATTCGTGGTCTGTTCAGGGTGAGTAGTGCTTGTCTGCTATCTGTATGTTCCTTCCAGTGATATTGTTTCTGGTTATTTCTTTTGCTGCTATGAGAATCCCCGTTAGCTCTGTTTGAACTACACTGGCACTATTGCTCACAGCCCATTTTATGTTTAGATTTAATAATCTGGAGTATACATATTCCACATCCTGAACCTTGTTTTGTTTTAGAACCGTCGATGTAGATATGAATCGTACCTGCCACTTCCGGCTCTTCTATTTGTTCTATTATAACTTTATATGGCTTATGAAAGATATATCTCGGTGAGATGAAGTCCATGTTCGCTTGAAGCAGTGGGAGCGTATCGAGCGCCTCCTGCCAAAAGCGACGTCTCGCCTCACCAGATCCTACATCAAGTTCTATTCCAACCGTGCGGAAGCGTGTCATTGTCGTCAGAGCAACCCCCTTGATGTAAATATCAAGGGGAGTGAAGCCAAGAATGACTTCCATGGCTCTGGTCGGTGTTGTTTTCATGGCTCCTGTTATGTTGAGACATGCTGTTCTTTGAATTTACTCTAGTTTATGGATAGCTGTTAATTTTTGGGTTTTCGGTACCCAGACAATTGCACAGTATGTTAGCATAGGTCTTATAATAGCCGTGTAAGTCTATGCGACGACTCTGGGGGAGAAACCCCAGGTGCGCCCCACGGTTCGGCGACATTGTTCATAAGCAATGTATGTTCTTTTAACTCTATTTTCTAAATACGAGTTCAATGTTAACTTGCTGTCAAAGGTGAGACCTAGGTACTTCACCTCTGTTGCAAAGTTTTGTTTTGTGTTTAGGAGTTCTGGAGGTTTTAATTCCATTTTCATTTTTTTTTCTTGCGAAAAGGACCATTTATGTCTTCTTAGAAAGATGGGATGAAGCAAGAAGCTACAGAGTTGCCGTGGAGCCTTTAAGTTATCCTGACAACACTGCAGCAAAAAAATACTTGACTATGACTAGACAGAATCTACGCCTAGTTACAGGTATTCTGACTGATCATTGCCAAGTATGGAAGCATCTCCGTATCATGAAACTTTCATAATCTGCATTCTGCAGAGGGTGCGAACAAGAAAATGAGACCATCGCACATATTCTCTACAACTGCTTAACGCTCTCATTTATTAGGAGATTTGTGTTCGGCAAGTATCGGCCAACACCGGCCGATATATAAGAGAAGAACTTCTTGGCGACGTTTTCAACTACATTAAATCTGTAAGCTGGCCACCCTCCACACGTTACAGATATACTATATTAACTAACCTTAAAAAAAAAATGAAGAAATGCAGTTAAAAACAATATGATTCATATAATCACAACACCCGATGGGCAATAGGAGTTGCGACTGCCATTCTCGCCTTTATCTGCGGAACAGGGTTCTTTAAGTTACTAGGGAATCATATACTACAATAAAACCCTTAGACTTTTTGGACACACACGCAGAATTTTAACAGTTTTAAAAATATCCTATACAAGTTTCTCATAGAGAAAGCTTTCTACTCTGTTGAATACTTGGAATTCTAGCTTTTTTATCTTATAAATTTTATATACCTGGTGTTCAAATTAAAGTGTTAAATACTGCCTTTTATACAAAAACGTTTCAGAGGAAAGTTTTATAGTTTTTTGGGGACAATATTTTGACTAAAATCGGTTTATAGCTAACCATAATGTGGCCATTTTTTTTTATAAAATGCATATTTTCGGGGGTATTTAAACACTTTAATTTGAACACCCGGTATATATTATATTTTTAATATTTTACGTTGCGTTTATTTATTTAATTGTTGCCATTTATAAACAAGTATAATTTAATCAATGAAAATCCATATGGCTTTAGCCTTTGACACTGTGACACCAAATGCTACTAGACATTGGTATAGCTTAACAATTTAATTAAATCACACTTAAGTGGTAGATTCCAACGTGTTAGATTTCAAAAGGAGTTAAGCAAGGAACTTATAGTGGAGTTTGGTGTACCACAGGGCACAGTGCTGGCACCATTGCTATTTAATATATATGTAGATGGTATCTTGTTCACTATCAATGAGGGGAATGTCTACTGATGTGAGGATGACACAGCTATCATAAGTGGGCAGGATTGGCCGATAACGGTAAAAGAGGCAGAAATTGCCATGTTTAAACTAAAAAAATGGTTGGATAGTAGTCTATTATCTCTAAATATTCATAAAACAAAATTTTTGGCTTTCTCTCTTTCAGCTAGAACATCTCTTAATTTTCACAAAATCGTCCTTCATGACCAAACATGTCAATTAATAATAATTGTCAGTGTAAAAATACTATAAAAAGATCAAATAACATTAAATACTTGTGAGTACTCACTGACGAAAATCTCACATGTAAAGATCATATACAATATGTCACCGGAAAGATTATAAAATTAATTTTTAAATTCTATGAATTACATAACATTCTTTCTCCAAAAATTTTAAAAGCTGTCTATCTCTGTCTTGTAGAATAAATCATAAACTATGGGTTAATTGTTTGGGGTAATGCTGGTAGTACACTTGTCTCTAAGTTACAAATTGCACAGAAATACATAATTAAAATTATGCTTTTTAAAAACAGAAGATATTCAACTGAACTGATTTATAAAGATAGTTATTCACATTATTTGAAATCGATAATCAGATTTATGTTAAAAACAAACCATTTTAAACAAGGATTGTCTCATAGCATTAATACTAGACAGGCTGCTAAAAAAGATTTATGGCTTCAAAATCCTAAACATACTGCATGTCAGAACCATATCTATCGTGTAGGTCCTAAGGTATATAATTGCTTACCACAAGAATTTAAAAATAAGTCATATCATAAAATCAAAAATAGGATAAACCAATGAATAGTTGAAACAAATTTTTCGATTACTTATAAATATAACATCCTCTAATCCTAAAATTTATTCATTTTCAGTATTTGCTTTTCTAACTATTAATATTAGATCATTTGCGGGTAATTTTAAGTAAATGTGATTTATATCTAATTAACCTCTTTCTAAGAATGTATATAAGTGTTATCAGCATATTAACTTGCCATTCTGCACTGAATAGCTATTTATTATCCTCTCCCTTCAATAATGCAACCAGGAGACAAGGTTTAATTAATTCCTAGCAATGAGAAAAAATGAATATTCAAAATTAGACCATTTAAATTTTTGTCTTCTAATTTATAAGTTCTTGATTACTTTAAATGTTAGCCTACTAGTGACCTTAAGTCGCACTGTTAGGTAATTAGGATACCTTTTTTATATTTAAGTTATTGTTTATATTTATGTAATAATTTGTAATTTAAATTACTGTAAACTGAATGGCAAATAAATAAATATTATATACTAGTCATTTTAAATATTGTATACTATTTGTTTATAGACGTCTAACAAGTTTTATGTAGGTCATTATTTGTGGATATGTAAATTCTTTATAGAGAAATAAATTATCTATATTTTCTATTACATTCGGATATATTTAGCTTTATTTTGATCAAAAAATATTTTCAATAATTGGCAATAAAAAATTCTAAATTTATTTACTAATAAAAAAACTACATCTCCTATTACCGTATACTGTTTTTGTCCCGTTTCTAATGGTATTCCAACCAAAACCACTGCAGCTTCTCTCCACATTTGATTCCTTTCATAAATATCTGCTAAATGTTGGCGAATACTAGCAACTTGTTCTTCAAACGAAATTACTCTGGGTTGAACTTTTTCTAGCATATAGTGCGATACTGCTTTAGATACATCATCAGGCAGTTTCATTAAATGAGTACTGATTTCTGTTAAAATTTGACGAGAAATTACCAAACTTACATTTTCATTAACAACTAAAAAAAAACAGTGAAATTATATTTAAATGTATTAGAATTCATATTTAAGCTGTTTAAATTGTTAAAAATGAACATACTTGCTTCAATAAACGTTTGTAAACATTCCACTAAATCTGTGTTACTTTCTTTTAAAATATTTTCCAGGGTTGATCTATACCTGCAAAGAAAAAAAATATATTCATTACGAAAATACATAAAAAGGTTGTAGCATTTTTACTACCGTAGACGGTTTTTACTTGTATACACAATCCAAAAACAAAACGCAGCTTTTGGTTGCCTCTAGCTTTCAACATATTAATGATATATTTTAGCCCCAAGTAAAAACTAAGGACTCGACTAAGGAAGAGGTAATTTGTATTAATTTCCGTAAGCAGTAGTTTTTGTTATTAAATAATTCAAAATATTTACTTTTCAGCTTGATCTTTATGGGATCCTCCAGAAGCGATGATTCCTTGAAGTTGAATTCGTAAATTTGCAGCTTTGCTTGACATTTTGAAATGATGAAAAACAAATCATAAATCAATAATACAAAGCGCCCTAAAATAAGTATTAATTATTATAATAAGGGCACGCTAATAATACAAAATAAGTTTTTCTATGAAAATAACTTTTGGTTTGTTTTTGCTACAAAATACTTAAAACACTTAAAATAAGCGGTGCGGTGACGTCGTCTATGAAAAATTAAAATGTCAATTAGGCATTCCAACGACCTGTCCAAATGGCTACCAGTGGGGACTGACAGTTTAGATATTGCAACCCTTGTTGTCATTAACAGGGTCAATGATACATATACAGTTATATAGATAGCTCAAAGCTGGTCGTTTGCGAGCGGCCATATTGACTGACAAATATTTATTAATTTGAATCGGTTTAGCAAAAATGTGTTTGAAAACCAATTTTCAGCCTTTAGATATTTAAAAAATAATAATTGCTTACAATTTTACTTCAAGGCATAAGCTTATATTTATTTTGAAAAATATGGATGATCAATCTACGTAACTATCTATTTCATTGATCTTGTCAAATCACCAGGGGACCTATTTTCAAAGTATGTGAGCACTCATTTCTCTCAAGATTCTCATCAGAAATGTCATACGTCAATGTGGAAACGCTGTATTTAAAGACATCGAGGATTAAAATTCTTAGGAGAATTTTAATTATCTCTAAATAAACCGATAGAAACAGTCAGTGAGTTCACACTGGCCCTAAGAGCCCTAAAAATACGGTTTTACGTTGACGTATGACATTTCTCTTGATGGAAATGAATTCTCTCGAGTTTGAAAATAGCCCCCCAGGCCTACAGGGTAGCCATAATTTTGCCATATCATAACCTGTCAAAACCCACTGGTAGCCATTTAGTTTGGAATGCTTAATATCACAGAACAATTACTTTAGGTTCTTTCGTTCGCTATTGGTGTAGTATCCACCAGTGTAAATTCCACCAGTTACACCACCTTATTTACCCTAATTTACTTCCTCCTTATTCCTTATACACATCGTCGAGTACTGTAATTCACTCCTGCTAAATAGCTGGGGCTCGATTCTCGAGTTCATTGGAAAATTTTCCCATGGGAAAAGATTCCACTACTTATATTCCCATGGTAATAGGTTATGCAATTCTCGAACTTGTCGGAATAGACATTCCCATGGAAATAATAGTTTCACGTATGTCTGATATTAAGTTCACGAATATTTCGAAATAACCAATAACATTAAAGATATTTTAAAATTTACTGTTGGTATTATTTGTATTTGTTGTGGTTTTTGGGTAACCGATTACCTGCCGAGCCTCTGCGCTGGAGCAGATGCCGTGCCGAGCAAATCGCTAGCTTGACCGAGGACAAGTGAAAATATTCGATTATGTATAATTAAAACTTATCGAGTTATTTTTAGTTTTTCTTTTCACATATTGAAAAAAGAAAAAGTAGCTTTTGTATAGAAGAGCAACGAAAGTTTCGAGAAACTATATATATAAGAAATTCTTTCGTTAACGGAAATAATAAAATTTTCGAAAAGGTCTTATTAAATTTACTACAAATTTCTCAATTTGTGTTACCTATTTGCCAGTCCCTTAGCAGCTCCCACAATTTCTAACTAATTTAAGAAAATCAGTTTCTTAGTGAAAGAGGGGTAAAAATAATATACCCACATAAATAAAATAATATCAATTTATAAATACACAAAAAACATGTTTTAACTACAATTTCACCAAAAATCCAAGATATCCAATAATCTTTGGTTATGTCTTAGTCTTTCGCGTGGTCTTTCGTCAAATTTTCGACTTTAATGCGCAAACTCTAGTACAATTCCCATTGGAAAACACAATTTCCAATGCTCGCAAGCAGGGGAATATTTTCCCATACTTCTCATTGGAAAATATTCCACCGCTTATGCCGAGAATACGAAAACTGAATTCCCATGGGAAAATTTTAAATGCAACTTTGCAGATCTGCAAATATGGCGGACTTACAAATGTAAGTATTCTAAAAAATATCTGCAAATTCACAATATGTATTGTGGCTTATTACGCCCATCAACACTAAACCCAAATTTGGAATACGAAAACTTGATACTTGCATGTATAAGTCAGTCATATTTGCAGATTTTCAAAGTTGCCGCCATATTTGCAGATCTGCAAAGTTGCAGACGTTCTGTAATCTCACCCTAAACCGACAATATTGCCGCGTTTGAGAATCCACATCCGATGCATTTTTTACATCTCGAGCGTTTTTTTATCCACATCGGACACATCTACTACATCTACATCTGCGTTTGTTTATCCCATATGTACCTGTTCAGATTACATTTTTTACATCTCGATTTGAAATGAGATGTGAATGAGATGTTCGTTCCATGCTAGAAAGTAAGTGTTCTGTGAAGCCTTGTTTGTCAATTTTTCCTTTGTTTATGCTAGCATGAATATAAAAGTGATTTAATTGTTTAATTTTTGTTAATATTTCAAATTTAGGTTGATTTGTAGTCTCAAAAGTCAAATTTAATAAGTATAAACTTCTAACTTGTCATTGACATTTTATCACGTGACCAAATAAAATCTAGAGCGTTTGTTTATTACATCTACATTCAGATCTAATTCTCTATCACGTGATAAAAAATTCACAACATCTCAGATGCATCCGATGTGGATTCTCAAACGCGGCAAATAGAGGACTTCTATACAAGGGAAGTGCAACCAACTTGACAAAATAAAATTGACACTAATGACGTAAGAAATCGGGTCACATTAAGAGGCTGTTTTTTTGTTCGATTTTTGGTTTTTCTTATCTACTTTTGTGCCCTTTACATACCATATTGTACCCGTAACGTAAAAAAGACTTTTTATTTTAGGGTATTTTATATTTAAAGGTTGAAGACATTTATCAATATCAGCTGTCGATAATGTCAAAACATAAGCGTAGCATTGCGAATTATTTTTTTATTGTTAATAGTCTATTTGTGTTTTTCCTGGTTTCTTTAAACATGTTTTTCATTTGGTTTTATATATTTATGTCAAATGCAAAAATGCTGCTGCTACAAATACAAGTTCCATACACTATACAACCATATACAATACTAGTTACGTTATTCCCATCTATGGTTACGCCTGTGTTCTACCAACAAAATAATTGACAGCTGACACTGACAAATGTTTTCAACCTTTAGATATAAAATACCCTAAACTAAAAAGACCTTTTTACCCTACGGGTACAACATGGTATGTAAATGGCATAAAAGTATATAAGAAAAACGAAAAAGTAAACTAAAAAACAGCCTCTTTATGTGACCCGATTTCTTATGTCATTAGTGTCAATTTTATTTTGTTAAGTTGGTTGCACTTCTCTTGTATAGAAGTCCTCTATTCTGGAAGCAGAAGCGGATGATAAAACGCACCTGATATTTTGCTTGCTGCTGTCAGTAGGCGAGTTCGGTCAGTCAGGGGCTGGAGCGGGACAAATTTTAGGGTGCTTTTAAATGACATTTAAGCGTGTTAAACTGTCACTAATCGGACTAAACCGAACGCTAAAAGAGTCGTTTGGAGTTAAAAGTGTTAAAGGAGTTAAAGGAACGTGGCAAACCGAACGCAATGAGTGTCAGTGAATATTATTTTTGAAGTCACAGTTTATTGCTAAAGAATCAGTTAGCTCACTCGGACCAGTTGAAAGTTTCAAAATAAGATCCACTCCAGGGATACAAATTCAGGATACGCAGAAGACAGCTGTTTTATTAAAGGCGGTTGTTATATATTGTATTATCCGAGTTGCGCAGTGTATAAACTGGAACATTGAGATCAAAAGTGCCGACGCAGAGTGAGCGATCTGATTCTTTAGCTATAAACTGTTGCATAGGGTTCAAAATGGCCGGGCCCTATGTTGGGCGTGTCGGACCTCTTTCTTGCGCCGTATAGTAAAGAAAATCAAAGTATGTGGTCCCGCTCCAGCACCTGACTATCCGAACGTAATTGCTCGGAGATCCGAACTCGCCTTATAAAATTTATCTGTGTCACAAAGCATGTATCTTCTAGAGACCCCACGCCAATGTTAAACTTTTAAACCAAATTAGCGCCACCTTGTGTTTGGAGCTGGAACTAAAATGACAATTGACAGATGGCGGTAAATTCAAATTGTAATTTTTAGGAGTAGGTAGTAGTTTTAAATTAAATTTTAAATGATTTCCACATAAATTATTTTATAAAATAAAGTATGGAACTAGTAAGTTCGAAACTTTTATTTTACAAAATAATTTAGGTCGATTATACCAAATTTGAAGAATTAATTTGTTATAAGGGGTCTAATGTGGAGAGTTGGTTCTGCATATTTTTATTAAATAAATATAAGATATATCAATAAATAATAAAATAGAACATTCTTAAAATATGTTTAATAATAACTTAAATAAATATTATTAGATAAAAATAAATACAAATAATAATACATATTTAATGAATACTTACTTGGAGAAAATATATATATAATCTCAAATCTTTAAAATACCTATCAATAATTTAAATGTGAAGTAGAGACTAGGATATTACATTTTATTAACACTAAAGTTATATATTTTATAAATGTCTTTTTAACTGAGGACAAATGTAATATAGGTATTCTATTAAAAGGTGAATCCTTTTAACCATTCATTCAATGATAAACAGGTATTTTCCTTCCAAATACAGATGGTGGTATTACTCTCTTATGTGAAAAATGATTTCGGAATCTAGTCCAGTGATAAATTGATTATCAATTAGTTGTTGTACTCGTTTGTCTTTTTATGATGCAGATGCATGGTGAATATATGGTGAATCAATGAAGTTTTTCTCGAAGTTTTCAACGTAGCACCAAAATTATTGCAAAACACAGTAGGAAATAAAAAAGCGAAACATCACACTTTTGCAAATAACTAAGACGAAACTATAAACAGAAACCAAAAGCCAAAGCAACAAAAAATCACTAAAATCAGACGGAAAAATGAAACTAACCAAGAACATAAATAAATACACGTCACATCTTTGGAGTCTTTGGTTAAGTTTTTCTCCCATAAGGCTTAAAAATGGAGTAAGAAATCATAATTTCACCAGTAGCCCCATCTAGAGTTTGGAGCAAATAGCATAAAAAATGTCAGTTGTCGGTTTTGACCTTGGTCATTCACGTGGAACCTCTATGTGCTTTGTGATCTGTGTGTCAAATAGAGGCGAGTTCGGTCAGTCAGGGGCTGGAGCGGGACAAATTTTAGGGTGCTTTTAAATGACATTTAAGCGTGTTAAACTGTCACTAATCGGACTAAGGGGCCTATTCAGTAACTCTGAACGACGTCGTTAATAGA